CATTTCTATCAAATGACTAGCTGTAGAAAGGTTATTTTTAAGTTGGTTACACTTTCTGTTAATTAGCTGGAGTAAAGTTATTTAAAAATTGGATAACAACCCTTAAAATATTGGCTATCAAAAATATTTTTATTTGAAAAACTGAAAACATAATTCAACCGAACTGGAATATTTTCCTAAAACTGATGAAACAAAATAGCGAGGAACCGGAAAAGTAATAATAATACAATCCAAATCACACCTATTGTTTTTTTCTTCATTCTTTATTCTAATAAGGAAAGGGATTTCCTCCAACACCGTTTAGTATTACGAGTCAACATTCCATACGTCATTTGGCCCGTGACTTGGACTTCATCCTACTTTTCTATCTGGATTTACTTCCATAGCTTTTGTCTAAGCAAGATCTCTCTAAAACATAGAACACAAAACAAATTTTAAAAGGCCGTCTATTTTTATAAAAAAAAAAATCCTCAGTAACACATTCTATTAAAGAACAATTTCGGGTCGGTTATATTATTTTTCCACAACCATAAAAAAAATTAAACTTTTTATTTGTTCTTTAATTACTTTTAAAAGCCATTCAACCGTGACCGTAATTATATTGAAATCACAAGGCCTGAAACCCGGTGAGAGAGTATGCTCGCGCATGCGTAAAGCTAAGATGTCAGAGCCAACAAACTTCTAATAATATTTTTATAAGGTGGCGCCACAATCGATTTCAATGGCAACCCCGAAGCTACTATTGTCTTTTCGCTGTTAAAAAAAATCGATAACATTGGATGAAAATCGCGAGGGACGTCGATAAAAAGATTTTAGAATCCCTGTGGGACTGCTGTGTTCGGCTTTCGCATTCACGACTGTGGGTTTTTTTAAAAATGGCCCGTAACCCCATACAAACATTAGCTCCGCCGCGCCCCAATTGTCTCTCCTCTAGTACCAAAGAATGTTCTGGCACTGTTGAATATCCCCCCCTCCCAGCGATACTACGTTCGGTGGACAATAATCGATTCTGATTCACAACTCTCCGCGTCAACGATACTACCTTTAATCAACAAACGACGACATACATAATCGATTATTTCTTTTTGCTGCGCAGCTCGCCCATGCGTAAAGTTGACCGACTCCCAGAATGCCATAGCGCGTCGGTGTTGATTAATTCACGACCCCAATGTTCCCTCTCCCCCCTCCCCCTCCACGACTTGAAGCTGTTCATTGAGAATTAATTCTTCCCACGTGCGAGTTTGATTGTCAACTGACCCTCACCCCCCCCCCCCCCTCCCCCACCCATCCAGTAATTCTCAACTAAAATTCAACTCTACTTTTCAGTCCGTTTAATTCTGATTCAGTTAAAGTTAAATGAGTGTGTGTGTGTGGGGGGGGGGGTTCATTAACTATAATTAAATTTCAGGTAATGAAAACCCATATAAAATTACCTTTACAAATTGTACCCTAGGCCATATACCGCATTCATCGGAACTTGATTAAAATTGAAACAAGGTGTTGTTGAAAGTAACTTGGGATATTTCACCCACTGTCTCTTTCAACCAAGCCCTACACAGCGGTATTGTATGTCAACGAAAAACACGAGTTGCTGACTTTAAGACATGCCTAATTAATGTTTTATGAAGGAGATTTTTGTTTTTATTGATGTTTTATTAGAGAGCTTTTTGTTTTGATCAAAGGAATGGGAGTGGTCGGGTAGGAGTGTTCGCTCAAAAGATAGGAGGGGGTGGGTTCGATTCGTGAAGTTGAAAGTAGAATGTGGGTGGGCCTGTTTGGTTGGGGGGGGGGGGGTGAGTTGAAGTGCGTACATCATCACTATTGGTATAGTGCTCACCATACCGTGTCACCAGTTACATAGATCTCCATCACTACACTGCACATACTATTACTACAATGTCGCAAGCAGAACGTTGCTCATCCATTGAGTTTATAACAATGGCATGACAGTGACATGACAGTGACATAACAGTGACATGACAGTGGCGTGACAGTGACATGACAGTGATATCACAGTGATATGACAGTGGCATGAAAATGACATTAGGGTGACATGATAGTGACATGGCAGTGAGATGGCAGTGACATGAAAGTGGCATGACAGTGACATGAAAGTGACATGACAATGACATGACAGTGACATGACAGTGACATGACAGTGACATGACAGTGACATGACAGTGACATGACAGTTACATGACAGTTACATGACAGTGACACGAAAGTGACATGAAAGTGACATGACTGCAACATGACAGTAACATGGCAGTGACATGACAGTGGCATAACACTGACATACAAACAAAAGTCACAAAAGACTTTCACACAAACCTTACACAAACAACCACTCACGTCACATTGTTCATCTAATTTTAAAATTCACCAAAAATTTTGGTTCCCAGGAGAAATACACAAAGTGTCTAGACTTCGATGGATGCCGTGAGAAGATAACTGATAAAACTTCACTCATTAATTTGATTAGAATTTTTTCTCAAAATATCTAAAATAAAATGTTGTTCAATTTTTTTTTTTTGGAATGTATTCTTAAAATGTCCACAAACAATGGACATTCATGCTCGCTATCTGGAAAACATGAAAAGTCTATGTCGCGAGGAATTGTTGTTGGTGGGGATCGGAGAAAGCTGACAGGAGATTCGGGTGTTTCCGTCATGTGTGTGAACTTATGTGGCAGGCGAAGTAGACTGGGGTATTTCCGTCAATTGTCTCTACTTTAATGTGGGACAAGATGAATGAATGGGGATGGATTGGGCACTTTAATAGAAGGAAAGCGGTTAACATCGCGAAGCTGGCTTTGGACTGGAACCCCCAGGGGAAAAAAGAAAAGTAGGCCATCCTAGGCAACAGTGAAGAAGTACAGACGAAGAAGTAGAGTCGGCGTAGTAAAGCTCATGGTTGCTAAACCGAAGGGGATCCCTTCCAACACTAAAATTAAGAACGAAGAAGAAGAAGAGGAAGAAGAATATGGGCAAACATTGTTTTGTTATAAAGAGAGGGATGATGTGTATGTCGTTATTTCTTTTTTTTTTTAGAACTTCGTCGTTTAAAATATCAATTCTAAATACAAGATTCGGTGTGTCTGTCAAAATAGATTTAGCTATTAAGTCGTTGTTTTACTGGTATGGAGAAACGTGTTTCGGTATACGAACGCCCCGAGTAACGAACGAAATGATTTAATTCGTACCCCAGTAACCCATGTACTTTAAAACTTGTTGAATAGCTCGGCTGGTATTGGGCCGCTCTAACGGAAATGGGGCGTGGAATCTGTATCCGTGATGTTATCTCAACAAGAAATTTAATCAACGGCCGGACACCTTTCCGGGATTTTATCCACGCCGAACTAATTTTAGACATCACGTGATGCAGTCGTTCTATTTTTGGTACCATTAGTTGTTTTGATTAATGCCTTACGAAACGCGAAAAGCAGCCTACTAAATAGCTCTTGAATTCTTGTGCAAGACTTCATTAAAAATGTAGGGTGGTGATTAGGGGAGAAATTGTGGGAGGGGGCGGACTGGATAGGTGGGGGTGGGCTTGGGGGTGGGGGTGGGCTGGAGAGGTGGGGGTGGACTGAAGAGGTGGGGTTGGACTAAAGAGGTGGGGTAGACTGGAGAGGTGGGGGTGGACTAAAGAGGTGGGGGTGGGCTGAAGAGGTGGGGTTGGATTCAAGAGGGGGATGGACTGAAGAGGTGGGGTAGACTGGAGAAATTGGGTGGGTTGAGGAGGAGGGGATGGACCGAGAGGTGGGGGGGGGGGCGGCTTACACAAAAATGATTTTTAAAATCTCAAACTATTTTGATTTTTAGAAAATTACAAATCTGAAATATTGCTTGAATAGCTTTAATACATTTTTTAACAAACCCTTTGAGATTCTGTTTTCTTCAAGTTAAAGAAAATCGAAGACAATTATTTCTTTATTTGTCAATCTTTTTTTTAAAGGCTAAAAGGTTTTATAGTGAAGTCTCCGGTTTTAAAGGTGATTATGCAAATAAAACGATTCGTTTTCTTTCGCGACTTGTCTTTAGTCACAGTGCCAGACGGTTAAAAAAAAAATTGTGACGTCATTTTTATTGGTCTCGGAAAGAGACTGGACGTAGATGTAGATTGGTGCGTATGTGTGTGTGTCACTGTATGTGTGTGTGGCGCTGCTAGGGTGGGTGTCACGTGATGTGGAAATTGTGGGTTGTACCCGCCCCCCCCCCCCACCCACCTTTACTCCTGTAAATGGTGTCACTTTGAGTGTGATATTTAAAGGGGTTATCTCTTTGTTAAAAAACGTGTGGTTACTCCATCCTACCCCACCACAACCCCACCCCCTCCACACTCAACTCACATACACTCACATGCACACACACACACACACTCACACACACCGCAGTTCATTCAACTCTTATCAGGTCGTAATTGAACAGGATAAAAGATACATTCTACTGCTCGACTCTGCCCTCTAAATTTAACTGCTAGTTGGTTGTTTTTTTATATTGTTATGTTACTGGAATTTTTATTTATTTTTGTGTTCAGGAATTCGAACCAAATCGAGGTTAGTGGTTTAGTATTAGTGAACGCTGCTTGCCATTGGTCACATTTGTACGTTAGTGTGTTTGTTAGTATGTTTGTGGCTGTGTCACGTCGTCAGTGTGACATTTTGATTGCGTGACACTGTGATAGCTGTATGTGACGTTGATTCGGTCAGTAAAAAAAAATTATAATCAGCATCTTGTTTACAGATTAAGTGGGGGGGGGGGGGAGTTTTTAAAATTGTGTGCGAAAAAAAGTATTTTGCGCCTGTGCTACCCATGTTCACATGTTATGTTCCCTGTTTGTTCTCTGTCGGTTCCCTGATAACCCGTCACTGTTTGAGTTCCCTGAGAACATGCTGAATATTGTGAGTACGTCAAACACGTCCGTCCTGGGCGGATGTCGATTTCCGGATATGGAATTCTACACATGTGACCTTGATCTTGACAAGACGAAACTGTGTCATGTCAACTACGGGGGGCAACCCGGAAACAGGTTTACCTGGCCAGTTCTTTGGTGGTTTACCTGGCCAGTGCTTTGGTGGTTTACCCGGCCAGTTCTTTAGTGGTTTACCTGGCCAGTTCTTTGGTGGTTTACCTGGCCAGTTCTTTGCTGGTTTACCTGGCCAGTTCTTTGGTGGTTTACCTGGCCAGTTCTTTGGTGGTTTACCTGGCCAGTTCTTCGCTGGTTTACCTGGCCAGTTCTTTGGTGGTTTACCTGGCCAGTTCTTTGGTGGTTTACCTGGCCAGTTCTTTGGTGGTTTACCTGGCCAGTTCTTTGGTGGTTTACCTGGCCAGTTCTTTGGTGGTTTACCTGGCCAGTTCTTTGGTGGTTTACCTGGCCAGTTCTTTGGTGGTTTACCTGGCCAGTTCTTTGGTGGTTTACCTGGCCAGTTCTTTGGTGGTTTACCTGGCCAGTTTTTTGGTGGTTTACCTGGCCAGTTCTTTGGTGGTTTACCTGGCCAATTCTTTGGTGGTTTACCTGGCCAGTTCTTTGGTGGTTTACCTGGCCAGTTCTTTGGTGGTTTACCTGGCCAGTTCTTTGGTGGTTTACCTGGCCAGTTCTTTGGTGGTTTACCTGGCCAGTTCTTTGGTGGTTTACCTGGCCAGTTCGTTGGTGGTTTACCTGGCCAGTTCGTTGGTGGTTTACCTGGCCAGTTCTTTGGTGGTTTACGTGGCCAGTTCTTTGGTGGTTTACCTGGCCAGTTCTTTGGTGGTTTACCTTGTCAGAGCTTTGGTGGTTAACCTGGCCAAAGCTTTGGTGGTTTACCTGGCCAGAGCTTTGGTGGTTTACCTGGCCAGAGCTTTGGTGGTTTACCTGGCCAGAGCTTTGGTGGTTTACCTGGCCAGTTCTTTGCTAGTTTACCTGGCCAGTTCTTTGGTGGTTTTATTTTAGGCCATTGATTTGTGGCGTTTTGAGGCCATTGATTTGTGGCGTTTTGCGGCCATTGGCCTGTGGCAATATATGTTCAAATAATATGGCTTTGACATTTTTGTGGCCATTTGCTTGTGGTATTTTGTGGCCATTGGTTTGTGACATTTTGCGGCCAATTGCCCACTGCATTATATGGTCCAATCATTTGGCTCATGGTAATGTATGATCCGATGATTTGGCTTGTTGCATGTTTAGCTTGACCTTTGAACTCGTGCCACAGTAGTCAAATAACGGTGCATGTTTTAGCATGGAGTGTTTAAAATAGCTGTCAATAAAATCCAAGATGGCGGAGCTTGATTAATTAAATTTGATATTTTAATTGATGGGATGCTAATGGGTTTGGGATTTATGCAAGATAAATCTTATTAGAGCTGTCAGATAGCAGGAGGGCATAGGGTTACATGAGTGCTGTCAAGGTTAGGTTAGGTTAGGTTAGGTTAGGTTAGGTTAGGTTAGGTTAGGTTAGGTTAGGTTAGGTTAGGTTAGGTTAGGTTAGGTTAGGTTGGGTTAGGTTAGGTTAGGTTAGGTTGGGTTGGGTTGGGTTAGGTTAGGTTAGGTTAGGTTAGGCTAGGCTAGGTTAGGTTAGGTTAGGTTAGGTTAGGTTAGGTTAGGTTAGGTTAGGTTAGGTTAGGTTAGGTTAGGTTAGGTTAGGTTAGGTTAGGTTAGGTTAGGTTAGGTTAGGTTAGGTTAGGTTAGGTTAGGTTAGGTTAGGTTAGGTTAGGTTAGGTTAGGTTAGGTTAGGTTAGGTTAGGTTAGGTTAGGTTAGGTTAGGTTAGGTTAGGTTAGGAGGTTAGGTTAGGTTAGGTTGGGTTGGGTTGGGTTGGGTTGGGTTAGGTTAGGTTAGGTTAGGTTAGGTTAGGTTAGGTTAGGTTAGGTTAGGTTAGGTTAGGTTAGGTTAGGTTAGGTTAGGTTAGGTTAGGTTAGGTTAGGTTAGGTTAGGTTAGGTTAGGTTAGGTTAGGTTAGGTTAGGTTAGGTTAGGTTAGGTGGTTAGGTTGTTAGGTTAGGTTGTTAGGTTGGATTGGGTTGGGTTGGTTCGGGTCGGATTAGCTAAAGCTAGATTAGCTTTGGACCAATTAGCTCCACTTGAACCATTGATACTCACCAACAGCCTACAGTTTGCCAAACAGATGTCATTCCAAACAGAGTGTAAACCACAGGTGTAGCGAAGGGGGGGGGGCAGGGGGGTACATATGTCCCCGGGCGCCGACCTTAAGGGGCGCCAAAATGGGTTGGAAAAACAAATTAAAATATCATTTTAGGTGCAGTTTCGCATTATAAATATAAAAAAATATATGGGGGGGGGGGCAAACGAAAGGTTTGAGGGGGGGGGGGGTGCAAATTGAAAATTGAAGGTTTGTTCCCGACGGGGGCGCCAAATTAAAAGTTTGTCCCCGGGCGCCGGGAAGGGTCGCTACGCCACTGGTGTAAACAAACGCTAAATATAACTCGCGCATGCGTGCATAGTTCCAGCCCCAGTCGCTCCTGGCATGACCAGATTAGGCTAATCTTTAACCAGAGCCTCTGGGTGGTCAAGGCATGGACTGGCTATTTAATTATTCTAATTATAGCTTCATCTGTGGACACGAACATATACGATATTCTGTATCAAGTTTCAGACTTTCGATTTTAACAACAAATAATAATTTTACTTGTTTCGTTTCATGTTTAAAGAAAGCAAGAAAAAAACGTAAAATAAAAACTGATTTTCTTGTTAAATTATTTACTTTAATGAAAAAATAATTAAAAATTAAAAATGTTATTGTAAAGACAACTCACCGTCTATACCGTTAATTTGAGATGAAACCATAATGTTTTTAAAAATAAAATAAGTAAAAATGTCTGGTGCCGAGTACAATATCAGCTCTCAGAGAGCTATTAATTACATTTTTATATCCGCCTCAAGGCTGTCTCGGTGATGAGAGGGTTAATTATGAATGTCAGCGGTTCTAATTTACTGCAGGTGGGTGTAGGAATACTCATTGGTTGGTAGTAGTCACGACTAAAATTAATATTTTACCGGATGATTACTAGAGGAGACGAGTTATAGTTCATCTGTTTATGGGATATGTGGTCAATTGGTAGAGCTACTCTTTACCTAACTTGAGTATGTAGTAGGTATCTGAGCCAACTCAGCTCTGATGGGTACCCCACTTAACTATGTAGTAGGTATCTGAGCCAACCCAGCTTTGATTGGTACCTGACTCGAGTATATTTTAGATTCCTGAGCCCATTAAGCTCTGATGAGTACCTGACTCCAGTATTTAGTAGGCCCCTGAGCCAACTCAGCTCTGATGGGTACCTGACCTGACACGAGTGTGTAGTAGGTCCCTGAGCCAATTCAGCTCTGGTGGGTACCTAGCTCGAGTTTGTAGGAGAACCTTGAACCCACTTAGCTCTAATAGGTACCTGACTCGAGTATTTAGTAGGTTCCTGAACCCATCCAGCTCTGATGGGTACTTAACTCGAGTGTGTAGTAGGTCGCTGAGCCTACCCAGCTCTAATGGGTATCTAACTCGAGTATGCAGGAGAACCTTGAACCCATCCAGCTCTGATTATCACCTCAAATTAACGAAAACAAAAGGCGATTTTTACACTGGATGTCAACTAATGAGTTCAAAACTAAGGTCGCAGAAACTAGAGCTGTCCCTGTTTTGTTGATTAGTTAGACTAGTAGAAGGACGATTCATATCAAGAGCACTACGATCAGGCCTTCAGTACACTAGGAAAAAAATGTTAATGATAATGTACTCTTTAGAAAACCATTACCGCCAGGGGTTGTTTTTTGTTCGTTGTTTGTGCGGTTTTTTTGTGTGGTTTTTTGTGGGTTTTTTCTTTTTGTGGGTTTTTTTTTGTGGTTTTTTTTTTTTTTTTTTCAGAAAATGTATCATTTACATTATAAAATGTAAAATAGGTAAAATGTACCGTTTAATAGAATAAAACTAAATATAAAAAACTATAATAATCTCATCAGTGAATTTGATATTTTGAATCATTTCATTTTTTAAACTGATCTAGACCCAATTATCGAGCAGTTGAAAACGTAACTAAGACTCATAAGTCGGGTAAACTATAAAGTCTAGTTTGTCTAAAACCATTTTAAATTAACTACACCACACTCGGAGAACCCCTAGCTCAAATTCCAAATTTAAATTCTGCCTTAATTCAGACAAATCGCGTCTTCCATATGACCTCAAGCCGAGACCAAAAAGCGTTCGATTAGGGTCAGGCTTGACAAGGCTCGGTCATAAATCTCTTCACTCCATCTGGTTGTACCGTCCTGGTTCAAGGGGTCAGACCCTACATCTGGGTCAGGGTCAGTTCCCAAACAAGGGTCACACCCTCAATGTGGATCAGGGACAGTCCCAAATCAGAGGTCACACCCTTAAGGAGATCAAAAATCCTCATACAGAACTGTGTGTTTAGTAATACCAACGACAGAAAACTCGTTTCAAAGACAACTAGTGCGTTTTTCAGGTTCCCAGAAAAATGCGCAATCTGAAAAGTGCGTAACGGAAAACTGTGCAAATACAAACTAATTATATTAACACACTTTAATATTGTCTTACTTCGAGGACGTATGTTTTATTATGCCACCATTCATTCTTTTTTAATGTCTATAACTCCTCAATTTAAGAAAACAAGAAATGCCCCTGTGCGGACTTTTTGTGCGCAGTTTTCCGTAGCGCATCTTTCCGGTCACCTATTTTTCAATAGTCCTTTAGAAAGGGCTTTAGTATGAGCCAAGACTTACAAACGTCGCTGTTGGAAAGAGCGTATTGTGAAGTGTGATTTCCATCAAAATAATCCCATTTCATAATATTCTCTATCACCGTTTACAAGGTCAATCACTCGAGTGACCTTGGGACCCAAGGCGCGTGACTAACAAGAACACAAACCACGTGACTCGAGCACTCGCCCCCCCCCCGCCCTAAAAAAAGGGGGGGGGGGAGAAGCACCAAATGACCCCGGGTATAAACCACGTGACCTTTCATACAAAAAAGATCCTTGGCGTAATTTAGATGCGGTGTGAGGGGTAGGGTGTCTTTATACAAATCGTGACCTAATTATTTTGCCACGCTGAAGAGTGGTCTGAGGTCAAGTTGACCGGAAGTGGGGGTACGTGCTTAGAAAACCAAAGCCTGATGCTCCGGCACTTTGGTTCTAGAAGTTTCGCTACCACCGATCACACACCATCACACATCATCACACACCATCTCACCCATCTATCCCCTGCATCTCGCGTGGATCACCTATCGTCTGCACAAGTTTTTAAATCGTTTGCTTTTGTTGTGTTCCGCTTTAACAAAGATGGTGCCGGGCCAGACATCCGGATAGGTGTGTGTATTTAGATCTAGCGATCCATTGGGCTGATGAAGCACAGTTCGCCTGTTTCTGTGACCTCAGAATATGAAAGGATATTGTGGTTAGTACTATGCCCAGCCGCCTTTACTCGGGTTAGGTACCCATAAAAGCTGGGTGGACACAGGGCTTTCCGCTGACTTGAAGCAAGATTCTATCTCGAGTAGTAGTCTAGCACACTACCTCTACGCCACGCCGTCATTATATATAAATAATATATATATATATATATATATATATATATATATATATATATATATATATATATATATATATATATATATATATATATATATATATATATATATATATATATATATATATATATATGGAGAGAAAGAGAGAGAGCGAGAGAGGTAAAGTAACACTAATAAAATACTCTTGAAACAATTCAATTTGATGAATGTGTTCACTGAGTGCACAACAGGGCCATAAATAAACTAAGCCGTA